GTCTGACTTATTTCACTTAGCATAATACCCCCTAGGTCCATCTTTCATGCTGTTACAAATGGTAAGATTCCATTCCTTTTAATGGCTAAGCAATATTCCATTGTATATATGTACCATGTTTTTATCCAGTTGTCCATTAATGGGTATTTGGGTTGCTTCCATGTCTTGGCTGTTATAAATAATGCTGCAATGGACATAGAGGTGCATATATCTTTTTGAATTAGTGTTTCGGGTTTCTTTATAACTAGAAGTGGGATTGGATATATACCCAGAAGTGGAATTGCTGGGTCATAAGGCAGTTCCATTTTTAATTTTTTGAGGAAACTTCACATTGCTTTCCATAGTGGCTGCACCAATCTGCATCCCCACCAACAGTGTGTGAGGATTCCTTTTTTGCAACATTTCACCAATACTTGTTTGTTGATTTATTGATGATAGCCATTCCGACCATTATAGGGTGATATCTCATCGTGGTTTTAATTTGCATTTTGCTGATGATTTGTGACGTTGAGCATCTTTTCACATGTCTGTTGGCCAACCATATGTCGTCTTTGGAAAAGTATTTGTTTAGGACTTTTGCCCATTTTTTAATTGGAGTGGGTTTTTTTTTTTGGTGTTGAGTTTTATGAGTTCTTTATAAATTTTGGGTATCAACTCCTTATCAGAAGTATTATGGGCAAATATCTTCTTCCATTCAGTAGGCTGTCTTTTTGTTTTGTTTATGGTTTCCTTCGCTGTGCCAAAAGTTTTTAGTTTGATGTATTCCCATTTGTTTATCTTCTCTTTTATTTTCCTTGCCTGGGGAGATAGAGAAATATTGCTAAGGGAAATGTCATTGAGTTTACTGCCTGTGTTTTCTTTTAGGAGTTTTATGGTTTCAGGTCTTTAATTCATTTTGAGTTTATTCTTGTGTATGGTGTAAGAAGGTGGTCTCATTTCATTTTTTTTGCATGTATCTGTCCAATTTTTCTAACAACATTTATTGAATAGACTGTCTTCACCCCATTGTCTGTTTTGTCTCCTTTGTCATATATTAATTGACCATAGAGGCATGCATTTATTTCTGGGGTCTCAAATCTGCTCCGTTTACCTATGTGTCTGTTTCACCCCACTGCCCTGTGCTTTGATTGCTGCACCCTTGTAGTGTGTTTCAATTTCAAGTAGGATGACGTCTTCAGCTTTCTCCTTTCTCAAGATCACTGTGGCTGTTCAGAATCTTTTGTGGTTCTATATGTATTTTTGGATTAGTTGTTGTAGTTCTATAAAAACTGACATTGGTATTTTGATACGCATTACATTGAATCTGTAGATTGCTTTGGGTAGTATGGACATTTTAAAGATGTTAATTCCTTCTATTCTTGAGCACAGTATATGCTTCCATTTACTGTGCTCAAGAATAGAAACCTTCTTCATTTTCTTTCTTCAAAGTCTTATAATTTCCCAAGTACAGGTCTTTTACCTTTTTTAGGTTAAATTTATTCCTAGGTAATTTAATTTTATTCAGTTGTAAATGGATTTTTTTTTAGTTTCCCTTTCTGACAGTTTATTATTGGAGTATAAAAATGCAACCAATTTCTGAATATTTATTTTGTATCCTGCTACTTTATGAATTCATTTATCAGTTCTAGTCATTTTTTGGTGTAAACTTTAGGGTTCTCTATGTACAATATCATGTCATTTGCAAATAAAGACAGTTTTACTTCTTCCTGTACATACAGGGTGTCCAACCTTTTGGCACCTGTGGGCCACACTGGAAGAAGAAGAGTTTTCTTGCACCACACATTAAATACATTGTGACATGTAATTACAAAAAAAAAAATCTCATACTGTTTTAGGTAAATTTACAATTTTGTGTTGGGCTGCATTCACAGCCACCCTGGTCTGCATGTGGCCTGTGGGCTGCAGTTTGGACACCCCTGCTTTGCAATTTGAGTGCCTCTTATTCTTCTTATCTGTTGCTATGGCTAGGACTTCCCATACTTTATTGAAGAAGAGTGATGAAAGTGGACATCCTGTCCACTTTCCTGATCTTAAGAAAAATGTTTTTAGCTTTTCCCTGTTGAGTATGATGTTAGCTGTGGATTTGTCGTATGTGGCCTTTATTATGTTGAGGTATGTTCTTCTCTATCCCCACTTTGCTGAGAGTTGTTGTCATAAATGGATGCTGAATTTTGTCAAATGCTTTTTATTTCTGTATCTGTTGACATGATTATATGATTGTCATCTTTCATTTTGCCTGTGTGGTATATCACATTAGTTGATTTACAGGTATTGAACCAACCTTGCATTTCAGGAATAAATCCCATTTGATTATGGTGTATGGTCCTTTTAGTATATTGCCGAATTCTGTTTGCTAATAATTTATTGAGGATTTTTGCATCTATGTTCACCAGGGATATCAGTGTATAATATGTTTTCTTCATAGAGCCTTTATCTGGTTTTGGAATAAGGATAATGCTGGGCTTGTAAATGAGCGTGGGAGTCTTCCCTCCTCTTGAATTTTTTCTGAATAGTTTGAGGGTAAGTGTTGATTTTTCTTTGATGTTCAGTAAAATTCCTCTGTGAAGTCATCTGTCCAGGACTTTTTTCTTTTTTTTTTTTTTTGGATTACTGCTTGAATTTCATTTGTTATGATTGGCCTTTTCCTATTTTTTGTTTCTTCTTGGTTCAGTCTGAGAAGATTGTATGTTTTTAGTAATTTATCCATGTCTTCCAGATTGTCTAATTTGTTGGCATTTAATTGTTAATATAGTATTTTCTTATAATCTTTTGTGTTTCTGTGGTGTCAGTTGTCACTTTCTTTCATTTCTGATTTTAGATTTTTGGGTCTTCTCTCTTTTTTCCTTGATGAGTCTGGTTTAAGATTTATCAGTCTTGTTTATTTTTTCAAAGGACCAACTCATGTTGTCATTGATTTTTTTATAGTGTTGTCTTAGACTCTATTTCAACAGGTTCTATTCTTAAGAAACACTCTTATGCATTATATCAAAATTAAAGTGGGTCACACATATAGTAGTATTAGTATATGCTGCAGAAATTCTAAGCTGCATTTTAAATCAAATGTTTTACATTCTGTCATTTCTTAGGTTGTATCTACTTAGATTTATGTACTTTTAAATACATAATCTTTCTAAATTATATGACTAATCCTCAAAAATTCACATAATTCTTATCAACAGTCGCCTGCCAGTACAGACACAAACCAGAACATGCAGTCTGATTTCAGTATTCGAAGTACAAAGAGCAGACAAAACTCATCCTTGCACCTTGAAGTAGGGTAGTGGTCACCCTTCGCAGAAAAGAAGTGACTAGGAAGGGGGTCCAGGTGGGGTCTAGACTGGATCATGTTTGTGGGGCATCAGTGGTACTTTGTTATCCCAGCTGCTAGTTACATGGCATGTGCACTCCATGAAGATTAACTGAGGGGTAGATTTAGGATTTTTGTATACTTCTATGTATGTGTACAAATCTATGTATGCTATGCTTCCATCAGAAAAAAAGAGAGAGAAGTAAGGAATTACTATTTTTTAATATTCTTGAATGCTTAGAATGTTCCAAGCACTGTGAGCGAGTCAGGCGATGTCCCTACATACATTCTAGAATAAGGTACATGTGTGAAATGCTGAGCGCCAAGCCCAGTACAGCAAAGCACCTAGGGAGCTGGCGTCATTCACTGCAGGAAGGAGAGAAACCAGACGGTGCAGGCAGACTGGAAGGCAGCGTAGGATGGACACAAGGACACCGACAGGCGAGAGAACTGTGGGACATGGGGTTGCAGGGGGAGTGGGAGCAGGCCGGGGGAGGGGGCGGGAATCTAAGGGAAAGGAATTGAAGTTTCTCCTAAAAACCACAAGCCTCCAGCAGAAGGTTTTAAGCAGAAGAGGGTCAGAACAGGTCAACTTCCTTTCTGACCCTCCTACAGTTTGCTCTCTGGCTTTCTGCAAAGTTCCAGCTGTTAGCCCCAAAGTACACCTGCATGTGTGTCTCATGTAAGCCCGATGGCAGTGGGGTTCTACTCTGGTGCCACTGGGGGGACCAGGGAGTGCTCCCCAGGCCCCTCAGCCTGAGAGGCATCCACCCGGGCTGAAATCATCCCAGGGAGCCTCTTTCATACATTTCATCACTGTGTGTCCCCAGGGCTAAGAAAATCTTGACTTCTGGGAACCTTGGGGTTTGGTGTTGAATTCACATGTCCGGGTGCTTACAGCTCACTCCCCAGGTGCTTCCCAGTCATGCAGGGCCACTCTTGCTTGCTGGGTCTGGAGCGGGACCTCAGAGAGTCCCGCCCCTCATTCTCTCTCCGGGAAAAGGGAGAGAGGCCAGACAGGTCCGCCCCATCACAAAGCAAGTGTAGGAAATGAGGGTTAGACACCCACTCTCAGAGCCTGGCGTTCCCTCCTGTCTCCAATCAGTTACAGCTCGACAATTTCTATTGCTAGAGCAGGGGCTTAGGGGACAGTTTAGCTGGGGACAGAGGGAGCTTGAAGCTGCTTTTGCATATAGTTTTGTCTGAAATTGAGGGAACTTCAGCATGGGTATCAAAGAGTGAGGTGCTGCTAGAGAATGGGGGGGCTGGGGGACACTGCGTCCCGCCCACCCCGAAGCCTGCAGAATCCCTTTTCATTTCCAAAGAGCCCCAGGCCTTCACTGAACTACAGAACACACAGAACCTTTGTCCTCAATTTGAATATTTCATGGGCACAAGGAGCTCCCACCAGAGAGGCAAGCAGGAGATAAGAGGGTCCTGGACAGGATGGATTATGAAATGACCCAAGTGCTTCCTTTCCCTCCCTCAACGACACATTAACCACCCAAGCACCTGCTGCTTTCTTTTTGAACTTGAGTCCAGTGTTCCCCTTGGGCAGGGGTGGGGGCAGGGCGGAAGCATTTTCCATCTCAGAGGCCCCACGGCCATGGGCGGAGGTGCGGAGGAGAGGGACGGGAAAGGGGGAGGGCTGACTTCCCGCCAAAGGTCTGAGGCTGTCCTCCGTCTGTTCCAGGGGAGGTTCAGACGCAAGCACAAGATGAAAGTTGTGCCGCCACGGAGGTGTTGACAGCGCTGGAGGATGCTGGGAGGCCTGCTGTCAGCTCCCCAGCAAATCAGAGCCACGGGAACCAACGCAAGCACTTTCATCCTTCATTACCCCAGTTGCCTTCTGAGGAAGAAGGCGTCAACAGGCTTGGAAGGGAAATACCGCACCTGACAGAGGAGCAGGCAGCTGCAGAACTGGAAGGGGTGGGGGGAGAGAGTCCTGCCGAAGGCTTGAGGGACGGGATGGGGCCGTCCCCTCGGGGCCTGGCCTCCAAGGGGCTGCTCCCCAAATCTGGCCAGGACTCCTCTGAGTCCAGCCAGCCAGCGGCCCAGGCTGCCACCCTGGAAGATGGCAAGGAGACCGCAGAGGGTGGCGGCCCAAGGAGCACTGTGAAAACATGAGGGGGACAGGGGCCTGGCACGATGACACAGCGGAGGCACTGGGGACCACGGAGAATTCAGTGTCAGACAGCTCTCCGAAGCTGCTTCCTCCTCACACACCTCCAGGCCTGCAAGTGAGAAAAGACGCAGGTCCGGGCGCAAACTGCAACTATTCTGAGGATGCCCGCGCGGTCTGATTTATTAAACGCGGGTCCTCAAGTGTCATCTCTGTCTGCCGAAGACGCGCCGCTGCGAACGCGGCCAGGCGCGGAGTCGCGTCGGCCATATGGCTGGTTTTCCGCATCCGTCTTTCTGTCAGCGTTTGTTTTATTAGAGATAAGATCCTTTTTATTATTAGCATTTAATGTTGATGATCCACATTATGGGAAGAACGCGAAACCGATGGGATTTTTAATCAGATCTCCGTCTTTGCAGCGGTTAGGCGGCCGGAGAGAAAGGTGGTGTACCTGAGTGTGATGGGTCCAGAGGGCCCGCCGCCGTGCTTCACCCGGCCAGGGCCGCGCAGGACCTGCCGTCGTGGGTGTTCTCGGCATCCCGCCTGCAGCCCTGTCCGCCGCGGCTCCCACTGGCAGCTGGAACAGGGCTTAAGCAGGCTCAGAAGGTTGGGCTTCCAGGTTGAAATCCACAGCCCCTGTGGAGGCCCGTGTGCTGACGGCGAGAGCCGAGTTTTCTAGCCTGTAATTCTGGAGGATTAATCGACCTGGATTGATGCAGGGATAAGAAGGGAGGAAGGGGACTCTGGGGCGGGGGCGGGGCAGGGGGGGGTGTTGATTTTTTGTTTCTGAGATGAAATGAGGGCGGGAACCTGGAAACGCTGTGCCTCTCTGATTCAACCTGTGCTGCTTATAGGATTCTGTGGCCACGTGGGATGGGGGCAAGACAGAGCTGCTTGGGGCCACTGCCCCACCCTACCGCAAACCTCGAACCCCTCACCCCTCACCCCTCCAACAGAATGTGAAGTCTGCCTCCTTTGTGCCACGCCTCCACCCCTGGGCACAGAGATTTTAAAGACAAGACACAGAGCTTGTGGCCCCGGGGTGGAGAGAGAGAGAGAGAGGAAAACACAATAACTTGATTACAGCCTGGAGTGGAGACCATGGGACCCAGTACCAGCTCCAAGTGCGGGGAAGGAGGGAGTGGCCGACCCTACCTGCTTCTTTCCTTGGGGATAAAATTAGCTTTTCTCGGCAGCATCTGGCATTGCAGAAAATTGAAGGCTCGTCAAATGATAGAATTTTCTTTGAGCTGAACTCAGTTTTTTTGTTGTCTCAGGAAGACCGGAGACCGGATCCCAAAGCCCAAAAGACCTCTGAGAACCAGAGTCACTCCTTCGAGAGACTCCCCTGCAGGGAGAAAAGAGGCTCCCGAGGTGGGAAGGGTTGGAAATTCTTCCTAATAGTCAGATGTTTACCCCAGGGTTTGTGATCACGTGGGCGGCCAGCCCTTCCTGACACCTGCCCGCCCCATTCCATCTCCAGGCGGGCGCCACTCTGCCAGCAGGGTAGGAGCCGGGTAGGAATGCATTCACGCTGCCTCACCCCAAGGGGGGAAAGTACAGACAGGAAGGTGCAGTCTTTTGCCACATGCACAGCAGGGGGAACCGCCAACTGCTTTCTTTCCACTCACCAGGGGTCACCCTTGCTGGTGGCATGGGGCCAGGGCGGAGTCAGGGCACTGCTGCTCCTGGGGAGCTGAGCACCCCACCTGCCCCTGCCCGCCAGGCCCAACTGCCCCATTCCCCACTCTGTGCTCCAGCCTCCCCCCTCCCCAGGCCTGCCCCCTCAACTTCCCCTCCAGGGCGGTGGCTTCTGCAGCTGCAGAGCGTGCACAGCCGAGCAGCCACAGAAATCACATTGCTGCTGCACTAGGCCTCAGCTGTCTGCAAATGTTCAGCACTACTGCCTAGGACGCCGGAGTTGCCAGAGGAAAACAATAATAATAAAAAGAAAAATCTCTTCCCGCAGAAGCTCTGGTTTTGACACACAGTTGGCCAGGTGCACATCTTTAGGGCCCATCATTACCTTCTGAAAAGCAAGGCTTATGCTAAACTAAAACACATTCCATCATGGGCAGGAAAACTCCCATGAGCACCAGAGAGCCTGGGGTTCAGGGCAGGGGGGTCATAGAGCGATAACCTAAACTCTGTGTGTGCCGTCAGCCTGGGAAGGTTTCGTGTTATGACGTGGCACTGGAGCCAATGAGTTGATCCTGTTGTATGCGCAACCTTGACCTTGCACTATACACACAAGTGACACTGTCCCACCTCTGCTATCCTAACCCAACATGGTTCTGTGCTCCATTAGACATTAAAGAGAATTTCAGCAATTACTTGTGGTTGTCTTTTGTCTTTGTAAGGGTCACTATGAAAGTGTGCAGCATTCTCTCCTAGTTTACCAGATGGCCCTGGAGTACTCAGGTACTCTCAGCTGTAACTCACACTTTAAGAAACTTAATAGGAAAATGAATTATATTGCATCAAAAGAACTTTAGAAGTAGGGCATTCCAGGGCTGGTTCATTGAAGAAAGTCATCAAGGATCTGGGTTCTCATCTTTCTGCTTGGCCTGCCAGTGTCAGCTACTTCCTCAAGCTCACAAGATAGCTGCAATGGCTCCAGTCATCACCTGTTCTCACCTCTGTGTTCAAAGGCAAAAGAAAGTTTCTCCTTCTGTGTGTGTACGTTTAAGAGCAAAAAACTCAGTTCTTGTCACGTGTCATTGGTAACAATTGTTGCATACCTATCTATGTGCAAACCGATTCCTGGCAGGGGAGATGAAATTATGTCACGGGTTTAAGTTTATCAAGATCACCCTCTGAACTGGGGAGAGGCCTGTGCCTGAGCACGCAGACTCTAGAAGGGTATAAACACCAAAACAAAAATCAGGTCTTGAGAAATACAGAGGAGATGAGAACAGATTTGAGTTGAACCCCCAACAACATTGCCCCTGAACCCCAACACATCTGTTTTTGTCTTATTTGTTTCTCCTTAAAAAGCCAGCATATCACGTTACCGATGAGGGTGCAGTTGGGGGGGCAAGGTTTGGGGGTGGTTTGTCGGTTTGTTAAGAAAAATGCCGTCTCCTCGCCTCTCTTCCCTGGCTTCTTTATCACCTGTCCTGCTTTGCAGCTGGAACGTTCCCACCTTTGTTTACCTCTTTGAGTGAGTGTGTCTGTCCTTCCATTATTTTTCCAGCGCGGTTGCCAGCAGAATGCAGAACAGTCTGGATAAATGAAACAGAGCTGACAGGTCTCTTAATGAAAGCTTCTTTGCACACACTGCATTTCTTGTGATCTCTCTGTACCTGAGCGCCTTTAGGTGAGGTTTTTTTACATATGAGTGTTTGTCGTGCTTTTAATTAAGGCCTGTGGAAATGGATTGGTTTTTGTAAACCAGGCATTTCTCATCCCTAACTCCTTCCCTTGCTGGGCCTCCTCGGCCCACCTTCCCCTCCTCCTCCCCCTTTCGTCTTCACCTCGCACAGCTATTCCCGAAGTCCCTCTGGCTGGGAGGCTCCTGACGGCATTCAGCGCCACCCCTGCTGGAACCTCCTCCCAGCTGGCAATCCTAAATAAGCGAACGTCGTTTTCCCATCATCATCCCTCCCAAGCATGCACCACCGTCACGATGTGAAGTTCTGTAAAAGGGCCCTGGTATCAGTCATTCACATGTTGGAGAGCATTTTTGGACACGCTCTTCTGGCTGGCGTCGCAGCACCCCAGTTCACCATGGGGCATAAAAGGACCAAGCTCCTCTGTAAGGAATTTCAGAGACCAGCGACTTGCCCCACGTGGTTGTCTTCACTGTCTCTTTAAAAGTACAGCATGCCTTTGCTCCTCTTGGTTTTTTGCTCCTGTAAAAAAATGGCACTTTCTCCCTGCTCGATCACTTTCTTGCAGGCCTGAGGATGGCTAGGAACCCTACTTGTCTTTGCAAGAGTTCTCTACTTGAGCACCTCCCCCCCCGCCCCCCCGCCCCCCCGCCCCCCCGCCGCTTTCATTCGGGAAGCCTCCATTTGAAATAATCTTCCTCCTTAATAATATTGGGGGCACCTGAAGATGTCAAAAAGGCAAATGAGTCCCCCTAACTCGCTACTTTAATATATTCCTTTTTTTCCAGATGTCTTTCTGAACAGAGAAAAATGTGAAGATCAGAGAGATGCAATAGAGAGCTCGGTAGTGGATCTAAGTCGAGATGAGAAGCAGAAAGAATAGAAAGGACCCGTCTCTCGATATTATGATTGCTCACAAAAACAAAACACGTCGGTACAGTGTGAAGGCAATTTAGGGTGATAGATATTGATGCGCTGCCTTACATTTCACAGCCCCTCTTGACTAAATGAGAATTTTTCGAATGCATAGTGAATGTTTGCATAATACTGACAAGTTTGACTTTCTGGAACCTCTGTGAGCCCAGGAATACACATATTTTGGGCTCTTAGCCAAGACCAGGGATAGCCTATTAAATGTGAAACAATTGGCTTTTTTTTTTAAAGAAGGCAAAACAGCTGGTATTTTGCTCATTTAAAGAAAGAAGTAACTTCTATTCATTTGCAGACCTTGCTTTATTGGATTCTATGATCATGTGCCATAACTATAGCGTTTTTGTGACCTGAAATAAAAAGGTGTGCCCTGCCTGGTGTGGCTCAGTTGGCCGGGCATCCTCTCGCAAAGTGAAAGGTCACCGGTTCGATTCCCAGTCAGGGCACGTGCAAGAGGCAACTTATGGATGTTTTTCTCCCTCCCTCCCCCTCTCTCTAAGAAGAAATAAATAAACTCCTTTATAAATAAGTAAAGTGAAAATGTAATTTTCCTGATATGCGTGATTAATTATCTGTCTGGGCCATTCTCTCTACCCTCGCTGCAGGCCGAGCACAGGCTGAGCGTTTCTTCGAGCACATTGTATCATTTTATCAGCCCCACTCTGTCGCCTACGATTATTAGCTCACGTGCTCGTCACGACCATTATGGAGAATGTAAAGATTTGATGCATTCAGTCAAAAACGCCAGATCCAAAATCAGTTGGGTTATTTCCTGCAGGCTTTCAAGTTGACCAAAGCACTCACTGATTTGCTCTATTTTCTTACGTTTTCAGTATTTCTGTATATACATGTGCACTGAAAAGCCCAACTCAGGGAAAACTGCACTGCAATTCTGAGAAGAAGCTTGTCCTACACATCTAAAGATAGCGTTTCTAATTATTGTCTACATTGTGTTTAAACTGCGCGGCACTCGAGCATTATTCTCCTTTACCAGCTGTGTCTAGGTAGAGTCATTACATCAAACGCTTCTAATTTTACACAAAGAAATCAAAACAAGTGTGTGTTTAAATCTCAGTGACAATGCAAACCCTGTGAGTCAAACGGGCAAACTGATTAGCAAGCTGGCTGGGAAGTCAAACCAGAAAAAGGGAAGGGATGATCAAGATAGATCTGTAAGGGGGGAAGGGTAAAAATAGCCCCCAAGGGCCCCGTGGGGTCCACAATCTTTCCCTCGCCTTAGGTTCTGGCCCCACCTCCATGAGCTGGGGTCACAGAGTTTCTTTCCGCCAGCCTCTTAATGGAGGCGGAAATCCTTACACACCTAAGAGGTGGCGACCTTTCCTGTGCTTCCATTTTTCTAGTTCAAGGTATTCAGCACCTTACAAGGTGACCCAATCCATCAGTAGTAGCTATTTTTCTGACCTTAGCCAGTGTTCTTAATCAGGCATTTATTAGATCCTTAGGGCGGTGTG